TCATATGGATAAGGGAACCCAATTAGGAGGCCTGTAGGTGATTCAGTTTTAAGTATGACAGAAACATCGTAATATGCAACACACTTTTATGGTACGAGGCGGCAAAGAAAACACCTGACTTGTGACATGCATCTGTTTGAATCCTCAGCCACTCCGCCGCTGTCTCGTGCTAACGGTTTTCGACAGAAATTACGCAGCAAAACCGAATGTCACTCCGAAGTTGTTGTCACTCATCTAACTGGATCTTTCGCCCTTTCTTTTTTACACCATGACCTAGTGGATGAGGACGAACAACCTTATTACGTCTTATGTCTGCTGGTGGGGTAAGTTCCCGTGGCAGTGCATTCTACATACATTAGGGCAACCTAGTTTTCGAAAGGACTGTCGCTTATCGGCCTACATTTGTCATTAAACGAAATGCGAATATGACACAATTTGGATTACTCACTCAGAACTCCTTCACATGTGAAAAGCCCTCTTGCTGATTACTGGAGAAGGTAATGAATTTAGTTCTTATACCTTGACACTGAGTTAATTTCAGTGAGTCTTAGGATAATGAGCTATATATATACACGAAGTCTTTGAACAGTGGACCGTTGTTGAGTCGTTTTACTAGATTAAATTAGGTATAAAAATTGAACTTTAGTGAACAAAGCACGAGTACTCCTTTCTTGTGATTTTCTGTTTCATTGGATCTGTAGTAGGGTTTGTTGCAAAAAATCATCAGGAGAGCTCCGAAGCTCACCTAACTTTGGTGTCCTTGACATAGGACTGATTCCTACACGTGAACTATAGTCCTCCCTATTGTGGTGATTTCCCCTCCCAACATCATCAACGACTTGACCAAGCAAGCGCGACTTTCAAAAGGAGTTCTACATCTAATCCGGGAGCATGTGTTAGAATTCGATGCCGCTGACATCGTTTTTGCTGCAGTTTAACCACAGGATTCGTGTGAATGCAAGGCAAACCTTTCCCAAATAATTCACAGATGTAGGTTTACCCCCAGTCTTGTGCACTATTTTATTCCTAGTCTAGCCCATTGCGTTCAGTCTTGGCCAAAGTTGTTACAATAGTGTGCTGGTACACAGAATACTTTTAGTTCAAAAGGTAGGTCGCTAGAGCCACGAAAAGTGCAGACTGCGGATGTCTGGATCGCCAGGCTTGAACAGGACGTCCGAAATAAGGACAGCTAATTTAGATGTCATCAAAGAAGGCCATATACAAGACTGTGATATCTCTGCTTTGGCTCTAGGCTTGGGATAGTTTAGATCCATTCTGGTCGGTTATATTTTGCTAATAATAGGTATTTTCTGCCCTATCTATAACTGCTAAATCAAGGTCCCACTGTGGTAGAATTTTCAAGATTTTAGGAATTTTGACACCCGCATTTATATTAACCAGCTTTTTTCATACTAGGTGACCGTTTTAATTAACTTTGTCCCTGATTACAGTCATCGCCAGCATGCAACGATGATGTCTCCTTGCTTGATGGTGAAACATTTGCAAACATTTGAAACAATCAAACAACGCGAGCGCTTCGGCAGCCAGCTGATCAAAAACCAATAAACGCTCACGAGCTACCAATATTCCAACAAGATGGTTTGAGCTGACATTAGGGTGTTTCAAAGTTCAAAATCATTTCGATTTGCTTTGGTCTACCAAATCGGAGAACGAAAGCTTAGGTAAATTTGGCGCTTCCATCGCACTAGTTCAATACCTTGAACTAGATATTGTGTGGTCACAGAAAATGGACTGCCACGTGACGTTCGTAGTTTTTCTCGGTTAAAGAGTGCTGTTTATGTGACCTGAGCATAGTGCTTACAACAGGAATCTATCTGAGATTTTTCGATAGACTAGGTGTAGAACATTCAATGGACATTGTACTTCTGATGAGATCACTGTTTCATAGACCTTTGAGGTGGGTAAAGCCAGCTGTCAAACGAATTCTATCTCTGTTTCGTATAGGATGCATACCGAACGGCCCCATAATTCTTGTGTAGGTTTAGAGACCTTTAGTATTCATGGTCGGTTAAAATGCAGGATACGAGCGGAAATCATCTGCAAAATAACAACAATAAAAGCCAGTCTGTTTGTAATAGGATCATACAACATATCGCCGTGCAGTTCCTACTCCAGGAATGGATCAAAACAGACGCGTTACAACTTAGGAACCTATAGTGGTATTCTGCGCGGTGTTTTGTACTTATATTTTGCTTCCATTATAACACTACGTATTTTGCCATTTGCATAACCGCTTCTTGGTTGAGTACAAAGAGCTACAAAAACGCTTGTACGATTTCACGAAATACGAACGTGGTCACGTGCTTCGATTCCCTCTTCTGATTCCGCTTGCGCTTACGGCGTTCGTTCGCGAGTCTCATGTGCTAACTCTGGTGTCAAAACATTTCAGACTATTTTCGGAGTCTATTATATGCGGGAACTGTTCAGAATAAGACCCCTAAACAACCATGATTGGATTATTGTTTATTCGCTGAACTGGGCCAACGACGAACTATTTTGAAGAGAGCAGTTATTAGTGAGCCCGTTCCATCTGATCTCTTTATTATTGTATACTCAGTCAAGCGCGATTATTTCCACTCCTTTGCCACACATTCCTGGTAAAGCAATGAATACGCAAAAACGCACACTTGTACAACTTCACGCAATACAAACGTGGTCACGTGCTTCGAATTTCTCTTCCGGTTTCGCTCGCGCTTACAGCGATCATTCGCGAGTCTCATGTTCAAACTCTGGTATCAAAACATTTCAGACTATTTTCGGAGTCTATTATATGCGGGAACTGTTCAGAATAAGACCCCTAAACAACCATGATTGGATTATTGTTTATTCGCTGAACTGGGCCAACGACGAACTATTTTGAAGAGAGCAGTTATTAGTGAGCCCGTTCCATCTGATCTCTTTATTATTGTATACTCAGTCAAGCGCGATTATTTCCACTCCTTTGCCACACATTCCTGGTAAAGCAACTTATTGGGTAGCCAGACTACTACATCTGTTTCATAATACTTTCTTTGTATGTGCGGGTTGTTCAACGAATGAATTAGTTCTACTGAAGAGGTTCTCTATGGGCGTACAACAATAAATTGAAATTTCGAATTTTGCCCCTTACGAATACACGCACGAAGTACTCTCTTCAAGTGAGGGAGAAGATTGCTTCAGCTGTTTGATCTCCCGCGAGTCTTGATGTCAAGAATGGTCTTAGACCTTGCTATACGCGTCAATGTTTCAACCAGTGCTACTCAATAATGGACATCCTAGGATAGTAAACTACAGGTGTGGCACTTGTAAACTGCTATCTTCCATGCTCAATATCATATCCCTCCTTCCTATCCACATCACTCACATTACTTGTTTTACAGAAATACACTCGCAACTGCCCGCTTCATGGGTCCAACGTGACTGTGGGACTTTTGCTGAGTGACTGTGGTTGTGACCGCCGGTTAGTTATCATTGGCTTCTACTAAATCTAAACATGAACAAAAATGTTAGCCAAAAACACCGGATTAATCTATTCACATCAGCGGATTAATGTTGCAATAATCGGAGGTTTGGAAATACCAGGAAAGTGGAACTTTCCATTCCTGGTATGGTGGTTCAGCGGAATATGGAACTACGGAATCTCCTATCGTGAACTGTTAGTCAAGATTCACTTGGATTTTTCTCCTTTTTACATTATATCCGACTTAAACTGTTGATTTGTTCCGTTCACTAGAGACTCCATGGAGCCATTAACCATTACAGAAGCACCCAAGACAGATTCCCGAAACAACAATCGTCATTCCGTCTAGCAAGGAGAGCCCGGATAAAATTATGGGTTTTCCACAGTTCGTTCTTCTATTTGCTATACTGAACGTAGAAATAAAAAAATTAAACCGGACCTTTGTGCTGGAAGTTTGCATGGATGGATCACCTGAAAAGTGTGCTTGACCATGTTTTTTGCACTTTGACGGCACTGATCATAGCAAACCTTTTGTTCGAAGGACTCAGTGGTCTTAACTTGTCAAGCCCGATCATCTCTGATCGAATGTGCCTTACAGTCAACTGAATGTACGTTCTTATGGATAAGATGTCAGCCCCTGGCACCGACATTTATGAAACTGGTATAATTCCTGGTTCATGAAATCAGAGAATCCCAAATTCTTGCACCCTTCAGTGCAAAAACATTTTCTTTAATGATCACAATCTTTTTTGGTCGAACGATCATGGATAACACAGGAGCGTATGTCAATCCTGAAAATGATTCACTTAACTTTTAGCACCCATTGTAGCACAACACAAAGGGGTTAATAAGTTTTCCAATTCATTCACTGGCACAGCCAGAAGGTTAAATCAGTATGATTCGTGCACACACAAAACTTGGTGTACCCGATGAGCGTTCATTGAACTGTCTTTTCTTGCTAATATGTAACCCTGGTCCTTAGGTAGATAGCTCTGAGCCAAATATGGGAACGAAAATCGTTCTATATGAGACACCAAGCAAGAGCGAAATTACAGCTTATGTCCTCATTCTATCATAAAATATCGGAAGAATCGAGAAAATCGACACATAAATGTCTCGACAAAAATCAAGTATCCAGAGTAGGTGTTTTGACAAACTTATCGAAATACATGTACTGTCAGCCCGCTGACCCTCATTTAGTTAAAGATGATTGGTTATCTGAATCCGTGAGTTTAGTGGTAACGAGTAGGTTCACGTTTAGTTGGATGATGTTAAGCGAAATGAATGAGTTCAGTTTTTTTCGTATGTATTCCAAATTCATTAACAAATACTGGTTAGCAATAATCTAGGTTTGTGATTTGAAACTGCACTTGGCGAAAAGGCAGTGTGTTCGCTGTTTCAGTATAGTTTCCGGAACACCGACTCATTCCCCATAATAATGACAATAGAACTTATACCCTCTCAGGTACGCGTAAACTCCACACACTGAGCTGATGCTTTTGTTCTGAAGATAGTTTTGAGATGTGCGCCGATAACGAACTTTGATCCGAGCCCAAGATAGGTCTCTTCGTATTGATATGAATTATTCAGAATAATCGGAACAACAGCGCGTCGAATCAGGCGGACCTTTTGCAGCGGCGCTGTTAGAAGTCGTTCAACAGAGCGCTTGGACCCAACATGTCGCTGCACCCACCAGATACCGCGCAGGCCAACAACCATCCCTCTTGGATTTGGTCATCACCAACGAAAGACACTTCGTTGATCAGGTAACCATTAACGCTCCACTGGGACATAGCGACCACTGTGTGCTAACCTTTGATTTCATCTGCTATTGGGCCAGAAATCCCAAACCTCAAACGTGGTTTAGAGACTTCTGCCGTGCAGACTTCTCAGGAATGCGCATCCTCCTTGAACAAGTCACACTGAGACCAACTCCGGTGGAAGAACTATATAGGACCACTGTCCAGAAAGTCCACGAGGCTGACGCGACATTCGTCCCAAGAAGACCGGCACGCAGTCGGATGAACCGCAAGCTGCCAAAAAGGATTCGGCGACTTCTGGAAAAAAGATCCCAACTCTATTTCAAAAAGTTGACCATAGGTGATACAGAAGATGAGCTGGCGGAACCGCTGTAAGGCAGAAATCCGCAAGTGGAACATAGGAAAACAATCCACCATTCTGAACCTCGCTCGAAACAACAAAAAGATCG